GTGAGGCACCCGGAGGTACGCCGTAGACAAATTTTTCCAAAGAATATCATTAAATCCTGTAGAAAAGTCTGCACAGACTCTATTTTTATTATTTTTCTTTTTCAAGTAAACGGCAGGGCTTTACCACTCAGTGTAGTCTGTTTTGCTTCACACGGCAAATCTTTTTTTCTTAATGGTCCAACTCCTTACTAATGGAAGCTTCCGTTGCAAAGGGAATTTTTATTTTAGGTTTGAATATATACATCCCATAATCTTTCATTCTGGATGTCGCTTTAGCTCTGGTGCACCTGCCACGACCCTCTGAAAAAAATTCAGGAAAATTTATTGTTAATTCATTTTTTTTTTAATTTTTACACTTTGTTTGAATTAACAGTGACGCTAAAGCAGAACGAATTAATTGGTTGGTTGAAAAGGTCGAATGATTTAATCCAATCCACACCGAACAGGTTTTGTGTTTATTTCATAACGAATCTTTTTAGTTTTATAGTTTGGCTCATAAATGTCATATCTGTTTTTAAAATCTCCTTCAAAATTTAGTTTTCTTCCTGTAATGATATAAGCATTTTTTTCTTTCGTGATCAATAAAGTTGTTCTTCCAATTTTTTTTCCAGGTTTGTTCATTTATCAATGTCAGACCTGAACCGTTATCCGACTAGAATTTAACATTTTTCTTGTTCATCATTACTTTCTTATCAGTTTTATTCCTTTGCTTTTCCATTGAAGATGAGTTAAATGTCTTTCCTATCTTTGACCCCTTTTTACTTTTGGGTTTTCTGGCAATGCGTATGCTTATACCCTTTTTTACAACAATTAAATCACTCATTTTTTTTTCTAAATAGACATTCCTTATGAATCTGTCCACAGCCATAACAAGGATATATTTTTCGGATAACATTTCCTTTATGTTGTCTTTGCTTAACTTTGACACGTCTCGTTCCTCTATTTTTGCAGTGTAGAAGATTTTTCTATTCATTTGCATTCTTCTTCGACTATTTGTAGACTGATTTTTGGATTTTGTTCTAATTTAGACACAATGCATGGAGTATTGCTGCAATATATGGTCTGGAGCACCTTCTGTTTACCCCGGAGTTCTTGACAAGATCCAGAGACGGATATGTAATCTAATTGGCCCTGATCTAGCGTCTCGTCTCCAGTCACTCTCTCACAGACGTGTTGTCGCCTCTCTCTGTCTTTTCTACAAATACTTTCATGGTAATTGCTCCGCTGAGCTGCTTTCGATGGTTCCCAGACTCCATGAATTCAAGCGCCCTACGAGGCTGGCATCCCGCTCTCACCCTTACACTGTAGAAACTTTTAAATGTAGCCGTCTCTTCTTCTCCAATAGCTTCATACCTCGCACCTCTCGCCTGTGGAACTCCCTTCCCGATTCCTGTTTCCCTGAGAGCTATAATCTCCAACTATTCAAATGTAATGTCAATCGACATCTCCAGTTACCTTGATCTATCCACTATCCCTCTCCTCATCCTTTCTTCTATCACTCCTATCTGTTCTCGCTCCAAATCTTCTGCAACCCCCTGCATCCTAGTGGTTTCACGCCTTGCTCGGGGCGTAATGCTTAAAAATAAAATCTAGTTCTGATCTAGGCATCCTCTGGAGCCGTCAGTCCTTGTACAAAAATCAAGCATTTAAACATATCTGGGGTTCGTTATTTCAGTTTAAAATTCTCTCGCTCTCTTTGGACAATCCGAGAAAAAATCGCTTAGTCTTCCCAACTTTTCTTTTTAAGGTTTAAACATTGCCATCTTGTATTGAATTTTTTTTCCAGAATTAAGACAGTTTCCTAGAATGACGCTTTTGATTTTTTTTTTTTTTACTTGTCAAACAGAATTTTTGGCCGGCTTTTTGATCTTGGTGACAACCCGAAACATATACTAAATATATAAGGGTATCTTTGCGGAAGGCTATGATCGCCCACGTTCTAAATAGCCACCGTACATAGAATCGGAAGAAGAATACTGGCCGATGGAGAGACGCTGATAGTTTAAAGGTTATCGGTGCTGAAATCAAAATCACCAAATTCTGGTCGACATTTCTTCATTCATTTGCACGTCAATGTCCATACAAAAGGCATGGACCCCTATTACTCCAGCTATCGGTTACATAGTAGGGCAGACTGGGCTTTCTTTGAAACAAGAAACTAAAAATTTAATAATGTTATGCAAAGAAACGTGTTTTAATGTTGTCATATAAAACAAACTCAGTGTTGAACTCATTAGTAACGCTATGTAATGTTATGTCATGTAACGAAACGAGTCTTAAACTCATCAGTAAATTTGTGTATTTTATAGAGAATCATGTAGAAAAAAGAGTGTTAAACTATTCAGTAACGTTATGTAATGTTTTGCTATGTAAAGAAGCATGCGTTAAACTCATCAGTAACGTTATGTCATGTCATGTTATGAAAATAAACGTCTCTTAAACTCTTCAGTAACGCCATGTAATTTCATGCTATGTAAAACAAAAAAAAAATTAATCTCTCCAGTAACGTTATATAATGTTATATTATGTAAAGTAATTTTTGTTAAACTCTTCAGTAACATTATGTAATGTGATGTTATATAAAGAAACGATTGTTATACTTTTGAGTAACCAAATGTAATGTTATTTTATAAAAAGAAGTGGTAAACTCTCATCTAACGTTACGTAGTGTTATGTTATGAAAATAAACAAGTGTTAAACTCTTCAGTAACGTTATGTAACTTTTTCTTATGTAAAGAAACATGTGTTAAACTCATGACTAACGTTATATCATTTCCTGTTATGAAAATAAACGTTTGTTAAACTCTTCAGTAACGTCCTGTAATTTATGTTATGTAAAAAGAACGAGAGTTAATCTCTCCAGTAATGTTATGAAATGTTATATTATGTAAAGAAACGTGTGTTAAACTCTTCAGTAACGTTATGTGATGTTATGTTTTATAAAGAAACGATTGTTAAACACTTGAGTTACCAAATGTAATGTTATGTTATATAAAGAAGTGATAAACTCTCATCTAACGTTATGTAGTGTTATGTTATGAAAAGAAACGTGTGTTAAACTCTTCAGTAACGTTATATGACGTTATGTTATGCAAAGAAATGTGTGCCAATCTCTTTAGAAACGTTATTTAATGTTATGCACAGAAACAAGTGGTAAACCCTTCACTAACTTTATGTAATGTTATGTTATGCAACGAAACGTGTGGTAAACACTTCAGTAACGATATGTAATGATATTTTATGTAAAGAAACGAATGTTGGGCTCTTACTCCTATATGACTGTGAATCCGGAAGAATTTCTTCATAGAGGAAAGGGAGGCTTGAGACAACAGAAATGTGGTTCTACAGAAGGATACTGACAATAAAATGGATGAAACATGTGCACAACTAGGAACTTTTAAGGAAAATGGAAGCTAGAATAATACTTGTATTTAAAAACCAGAAAGACACAGTTGAAATTTCTAGGCATATAATGAGGAAAGAAGGCTTGGAGAATTTTATATTCGCTTGATATATTGAAGGTTGAAGAGACATCATCGGCCTAAATCCCTAACTTTTTGATTGGTTGACAGAAGAGCGACTGGCAGGGATAGTTCGGCAACAAAATTCCTTCATCCTACAAAGTATAGAATGTTGTGGAGAGCTGTGATCGTTCATGCCCAACACATCATTGAAGAAAATCGAATTCTGTTTGTATTCGGAATTCTTGTTAAATATCCCAAATATGATTCCTTCCTTTCTTTTACTATTATTATTATTATTATTATTATTATTATTATTATTCAATTTATTTTATTTTCTTCTGCTGAAAGTGTAATGCTTTTCTCTTGAAAGACAGGATTTGGCAATTTTCTTAGTGACAATCAAATATCTAAAACGGAAAAAGAAAATAAATAATAATAGTTTTAACATTCTTCAAATTTTTGTCTTCCGTTTCTTTCAAAGTCTTTTTTTTTTCTTCGACTCCAACATTATATATATATATATATATATATATATATATATATATATATATATATATATATATATATCAATGATGGTATATTTTCTTCTTCAGAATTCGCAGATTTTAAACATTGTTTTTCTCTGGTTAATCATTTTTTCTTTTTTCATTTTACTTTGTTTCGTTTTTCATTTTATTGTTTCGTTTTTCATTTTATTGTTTCGTTTTTCAATTTTACTATGTTTCGTTTTTTTAATTTAGGTTTTATTTTTTCACTTTACTAAGTTTCGTTTTCTCATTTTAATATGTTTCGTTTATTTTTTCATTTAATTAAGTTTCGTTTTTTCACTTTACTTCCTTTTTTTTTCCATTTTACTGTTTCTTTTTTTTTTCATTTTACTATGTTTCGTTTTCATTTTTTTTCTTCTTCTACTGGTTTATTTTAATCCCAATAATGTGGCTAAATGTTATTTGGCTTTTCTCATCTCTTGTTATTCTGCGATATTTCTTTCCGTTTAAATTTTCATTTATTCTTTCTTTCTATTTCCTTTCTTTCTTCTGTTCATCCATTCTTTCTCACAATATTTCTTTCTTCTTCTCTCATTCTTTCTTGTCAATATTTGTCGCTTTATAATCCTCTTTTTTTCTCTCTTTCTTCTAAATATTTTTTTGCTTTATGTTCCTCTTCTTTCTTTCTTTCTTTCTTTCTTTCTTTTCTTTCTTTCATTCTTCCTTCTAAATATTTGTTGTTTTATATTCCTCATTTTTTCTTTTTTTTAAATATATGTTGCTTTGTATTCTTTTTTCTTTCAAATATTTGTCGCTTTTTTATGTTCCACTTCTTTCTTAATATTTTTTTTACTTTATATTACTCTTCTTTCTTTCTTCCTTTCTTTCTTTCTTTCTTTCTTTCTTCTATATTTTTCTGGCTTTATATTCTTCTTTCTGTTTTGGATGTTTAATTTTCCATTCATTTATTCATTTTTTTCTTTCTTTCTCACTTATATATTCATTTATTAAATGTTAACTTCATTCATTAAACTTTCATATCTGCTATATGCGGTTTCTTTCTTTTTTTCTTTCTTTCTTTTTGTCGTTGTTTGTTGCTTTCCTTCTTCTGAATACATATCTTTCCCTATTCTTTCTTTCTTTCTTTCATTCTTTCGCTATCAATTATTTTCTTTCCTTCTTTGTCATATATTTATTCTCCGTACATCTACGTATTTCTTTTTGCAGGCTCCTTGCTCTTTCTTTCTTTCTTTCTTTCTTTCTTCCTTTCTATCTTTCTTTCTTTCTTTCTGTCTTTCTTTCTTTCGTTCTTCTTTTCTTTCTTTCTTTCTTTCTTTCTTTCTTTCTTTCTTTCTTTCTTTATCAATTATTTTCTTTCGTTCTTTGTCATATATTTATTTCTCCGTCCATGTACGTATTTCTTTTTTGCAGTCTCGTTGCTTTTTTTCTTTCTTTCTTTTTCTTTCTTTTTTCTTTCTTTCTTTCTTTCTTTCTTTCTTTCTTTCGCTATCAATTATTTTTCTTTCCTTGTTTGTCATATATTTATTCTCCGTACATCTACGTATTTCTTTTTGCAGTCTCCTTGCTCTTTCTTTCTTTCTTTCTTTCTTTCTTTCTTTCTTTCTTTCTTTCTTTCTGTCTTTCTTTCTTTCTTTCTTTCTTTCTTTCGCTATCAATTATTTTCTTTCCTTCTTTGTCATATATTTATTCTCCGTACATCTACGTATTTCTTTTTCCTGTCTCGTTTCTCTTTCTTTCTTTCTTTCTTTCTTTCTTTCTTTCTTTCTTTCTTTCTAAATGTTTGTCAATTTATTTTTCTCTTTCCGTCTTACTTTGTGTCTTTCTTTCTTTATTTCTCTATTTATTTATTTATTTATTTATTTCTCTCCTGCTTTTTGAATGTTTGTCGATTTATATTCATCTTTCTGTCTATCGTTCTTTGCGCCTTTCATTCTTTCTTTCTTTCTTTCTGTCTTTCTTTCTTTGTACCCTTGTTTCTTTCTTTCTCAATATTTGTCCCTTTATATCTCTCTTTCCTCTTTTTTCACTTTATTCTTTATTAATTCACATTCATCTACTGAAGCTCTTCCCATCACCACTTCACCGCTTTAAACATTTTATCTCACTTTGTTTTCCATTCCATTCTACCATCTTTTTTTATTATTTTTGGTTATCACTCCCGCTTCTAATAGCCTCGTTGCCACTACTAAACCAAATCCTTATCTCTGATTTTCAATATCAATATCCACATTCAAATATTACAATCCTGAACGAAAAGGGAAAAAAATTCCCTACTCTACAAAACAGAATCTGGTGTCTAATTTCCCAGGAAAGCTTTCTCATGTGCAAATGTTTTCAATGGACAAACTTCCTTTTGAAGTGAGTGCAGCTATTGCGGAAAATTCCTTGGGTCACATCAAAGCTGACACCACGGCTGAATAATCGACCAGATTAGAATAGCAAGAGACAAGCGATGAGAGAAGGCGTTAAATGTGAACGGGGAGACAATAGGGATTTGTGTAAAGGAGCTATCTATCTATTTATCTATCTATCTATCTATCTATCTATCTATCTATCTATCCTAATCTGTTCATATCTATCTATCTATCTATCTATCTATCTATCTATCTATCTATCTATCTATCTATCTATCTATCCCAATTTGTTCATATCTATCTATCTATCTATCTATCTATCTATATATATATATATATATATATATATATATATATATATATATATATATATATATATATATATCAGTTCTTTCCTATCTCTGTCTGTCTGTCTCTCTATATATATGCAGTAATCTATTAATATTAATATCTATCTATCTGTCAGTCTATCTATATATATATATATATATATATATATATATATATATATATATATATATTATTCAATGTTACTAAACAAATAAATAAGTTTACATTAAAACTTTGAACTCCCCAACAACGGCATAATGATTGTTACGAGTGTGTAGAATAAAAATAAACCCTTCTTTCTGTGTAAAAAAAAAAATGAATCGATAAAAATCAATGGCTAGCGACGGTACCGGTACACCATATAAAGAGAAAAGACGGAGCTAGTTCACTTGGAACTATATGCGTTATTTACTGAACTCACAAATATCAAAATAAAATAAAATAAAATAAAATAAATTAATAATAATGTGAATAGTATAAAACTATTTGCAAAAGAAAGAAGCGGAATGGTTGTGATAGAATTTAAATATCATTACAGACGCAATGTAGTCGACCCAAAGATGATAGAAAACCCTTTGGGTCGTTGAAATAAACAATCCAAATCAAGAGCCTAGTTAAGTCGTAAAAAGACTATGTCAGATAGACGAAGTTACGCCGAATATTCGCGTCGTAACTTTTTTCTAAATATGACTATCTGATATTTGTTAGTGGCTCTTCTTATTGTAGCCTAGAAAGTATGGTGCACCGAGCGAGAATAGAACTCAATATTCAGTCGTTATTGTGCAAGCTAGGACTTGGGAAAGATAATGGATTTTCTTCCTCATTGCCTTCTCTACGGTTCTGAATTTAAGGTTTTCTTTCTCTTTTATTGTTGGCCACCGGGAATTAGTCTGTTATTTCACCCATATCTCGGGGAGAAGTGATTGATAGATAACAAGGGAAACTGTGCGAAAATAAATGCCAAAGTCGAGGCTTTATTTACAACTGGCAACTAACAAAATACAATAGGGAGAATATTTCTTTCTTTTACTTGTGGCTACCCGGGACTAACCTGTTATTTGACCCATATCTCGGGGAGAAGTGATGGATAGATGTGTTTAACAAGGGGATTTGTACTAAACTGAATCCCAAAGTCGAGGCATTATTCAAAATTGGCAACTTACAAAACACACTCATGGTGATGTTTCTTTTTCTTTTACTGGTTGCTACCCGAGACTAACCTGTTGTTGAACCCATATCTCGGGGAGAAGTGATGAGTTTAACAAGGGGACTTATGCGAAACTGAATGTAAAAGTCGAGGCTTTATTTACAACTGGCAACTAACAAAATACATTAGTAACAATGTTTCTTTCTCTTTTACTGGTGGTCACTCGAGACTAACCTGTTATTTAACCCACATCTCGGGGAGAAATGATGAATAGATGAGTTTAACAGGGGAACTTGTGCGAAACTGAATGCAAAAGTCGAGATTTTATTTAAAACTGGCAACTAACAAAATACATAGGTGAGGATAGAACTTGCTATTCAGTCGTAGTTGATCTAGCGAGACAAGCTCACTAATAACCACATCACGTCAGTGTGTCCATAGTATAATATTCGGTGCTCTGTGTGGATTTTTTTTGCATATATGCGCCTTTGCGTTTAGTGGGTTGAAAATTATACATTTGTTTTCATCTCTATCTATAAAACGCAGGATGTGTGTGTGTGTGAGAGAGAGAGAGAGAGAGAGAGAGAGAGAGAGAGAGTAACGAATGCACGGCCGCAATTTTCGACGGATTTGCACCAAAATTGACATGCACATGCTCCAAGTTAGCGGGAAGGCCAAGACCGACTTTGCATTTACCAACTCCCATCGATAGTGGAAATAATCGATTTTTTCATGCTTCTACGGCAGTTTTCATGTAGTTTGTGGCCATTTTCTACTGGCCAGAGTGAAAGCTTACAGCTGGCTGGCACGAAAAGGCAGGAAGATTCTATTGGCCAGCGTGAGAGCCAACAGCTGACAGACACGAATGTTAACTAGCATGCTAGCATACAAAAACAATATCGATAGCTGCATTCATCACAAGTGGGAAAAATTTTAATCTGCATGGCACTTTACTCCAATTGGCTCATTCGCTTGCTTAAACTCAACGTTGATTCTGATTCCGCAGAACCGGGTTGGGTGTGAAAAAGTATTTGTTGTTAACATTCTTTTTTTTATTCGTTTTTTCCAGTTACGAGTCCTTTTTTTTTAAAGCTGATCGTTTTGTGTTCATTTTGTTTAGTTCGTTTTTTGTAACAGATTTAATGTTTAGTATAGAGCTTAGAAAAAATTCGCAGTGTGAGATAGGCAAGAAGTAAGGCATGTAGGAACATCAGCACGGCAAAGGGCACTCCTTTAAAGGCAAAGAAGGGCAAAAATATTTTAAGTCAAGTGATAGCGATTGCTGTATGAGTTGTACGATTTTTGAATCAAGCACGGGCAACGCCGGGCCATGCTGCTAGTATCTTATATATTTCAGTGGGCAAATTAAACATTAAAATATAAAATCCTAAACATAATCGACGGTAAACGTGAACTGAGATTTTGTGAAGACGTATAAAATGTCTTGTAAATTATTAAACGGCAAATCTTATTTTTCTCGCAGTTCCTTTAATAGAAATAGCAATCCATCAGTTGAGAGTTTAAAATTTTATCATTTAACTCAAAAACTGAAAAAATATTCAGCGAATGACAGTCACTTGATGTTTATGAGAAAGAAGTTTTTCTTTTCTCTAAACTTAGACGTTGATTCGCGAAAATATATTTTGTTTTGTATCATGTCATTGATGAACAGAGAATACATAACTATCAAACAAAAAACAATAACACGCAGAGGTATCTATCTATCTATCTATCTATCTATCTATCTATCTATCTATCTATCTATCTATTATCCGTCTCTACAAGTATCTATATACATGTCTCAGTCTCTTCATATTAACTATTTATCTATCTATCCCCCTTTTAGTCTATACATCCTCTTAATATTACACTGAGACAAAAGAGACACAATTATCTCCACTAATGATTGATCTTGCTACCCCTCTATGCCTGCTATTTGCTGCTTCAAACACACCCCCTTGTAGGTCACCCTAATGACCTACTAAACGTGTTTATCTCATTTTTTTTTTCTTTAACACACTTATCGCAGGATGTCAAATGAATTGTCATAAATGAATACATATCTCTCTTAAATAACGCATGATAGAAAGAGCCGGTAATATGTATAGTGCGTATAATCCATTTGATTTTTGTAAACACGTGACCGATCTTTCAAAAATCACATGTCTGTTCAGGACCTAAGTGATAATGACCCTCCATACTTTTCTTTTATTTTTATTAAATGTGAATTG